TTGTATCCCACCACTGGACCTCAGAGACCACTAAATTCATAATTTTAAATCCTGTGGATCACTAATATAATCTGCCTAATGACTGGCTGGGTGGGCGTGATGTCACTCACGTCGAGGAGCGCCTCGCTGGCCTCTACTTGCCCCTCTCCTCCCAAGCACTCCTTGCTGACCTGGGCTTCTTAGGGTCATAATAGGAAGCTGTTGTTGGAGCTAAGCAGCCACCACAAGAAAGAGTTGTCAAAATAGCTGGCTCGGTTCAAATTGGATCTGAACATAGTTTATAATGCTATTTGGCTGGCATATTCAACTCTTGAAAAAGTTGAGAAAAAGTTGAGAAAAATTAACTTGTCTTCTAGGTGATTAATGTTTCAATCGGAGAAAAATATATGTAGTGAGAACTGAATTGTGGAATACTTGGTGCAGCAAACATCCAAATAAGCAGGGATTAACACCAGGCAAACAATCCAACAGAAAACAATGTATATAGAAACACACACATACATACGTAGAGCAAATTTGATGTTACCTAGTTGGGCAATGCAACATCTGCAAGCAAACAACCAAGCTCAGACAACATACAAATATGATTTTCTTCACGGATTTTCTACCCCTAAATATATATTAAGTAAAATACTGTATATTTAAAACTGGTGGTTCCCCATCCAAATAATAACACGCCTAGATTTTCAAGGTCAGTCAAGGACAACTAGGTGCTGCTATCCTAGCTGGGTCAAATAAAACAAAAACATGGTAATTAAGGGCTTTTTGTTTTGTTTTCTCATGTTATGAAAGAGCTGTATATATAGACAAATATCTCAGTTTAATATACTAAGATATAATCTTCTGAAAGCAATCTTGTTTACCTTTATTGTTAATAACTTAGAATATATTGTTTGCTGTTTTCCTTCAGTGAATACTTTCCCTATTTCAATTCAGATTGTTTATTTAAAAACAGCTTCATTTCATCTGTAAGTACAAATAAACTCAATGATAGCTATTTTCTTGGTCTAGCTAACTGTAGCTGGGAAGTAAAATTATTGCTTACTGTAAGAAAATTACCTTTTTTATGCCCTGTTATTAAATTGGCTGGTACTTAAATTCTATGAACTATATTTCTGTTGTGTATAATTTTGACTTAACATTCTGTCTGCATTTAATGCTGGTTAACCCGTTCTTTATACTATAAAATGAGAATGTGACATTTTAAATAAAATTTTAGAAATAAGTAATTTTAAAAAGTAAGTGGATTATTAATCGGAAACATGTGATGCAAATTAAGAGTTGGAATTGCATAGGCCTCATGATTTTGGATTAAAATTCATCAGTCACTATTGTCTGTACTAGCTAAGTCTGGTGAGAATTGAAGTTTCTTGACATTTAGAGAGTATGTACATGTGTGTATTATTATTAGATTTTTTAATGGCTAGTTATGAATTCTGAAAGTTGAAGTCCACAACTTGAAGATTTCATGGTTGAGAAATAGCATGATTTGAAAAGAAGAGTTTCCTTGATACTCATGGACTTTGCAAAACCACTTTGCAAAAATTAGTGGTGGTATCAAAATATTTATGTAGCTTTCCAAAAACTCTAGTAATCAGTTGAAGTTCTCCTGTGCCTGGATTAAAAATTGGATTTTAAGGAGAGGTGGATACAACTCTGTTTAGAACATACTCTATAGTTAATAATATTTAAGCACGGGAACACTGAAATTAGCTTGCCAGCAATATTATTTAATTCTAAACCATACTCGGATTAGAGTTACGGTATTTCAATAGTTGATCCAGTTCTTGCATTTCCAAATTAGTAGAAATGATTGAAACAGCTGTCCTGCATATGCTGTTTTTTTCTTGTTCAGTTTTCTTATTCCATAGCAAGAGCTATTCTCCCAGAATGTTATTTCAAGTTGTGAAGTGTCACACAATAATAAAGTTCTTTGGTCACTGTCCGCACAAAGTTTTTTGAATAGCAAAATGATAACTTTAGTGAATAATCAACCTCCATAAATGAGATGATTTAGCAAGCCATTTCTAATACATTTCACTTGGATTTCAGAGTAGGTTAACAACAAGTATTGTTGGTTTTAGGTGGGTATCATGAGAAGAAAAATAGGTGGCATATACGAATACTTTTTCGTGGTCTTCCTTACATAAGTCTTAACAGAGTTATGATAAAATTGTTAGAGAGGAATATTTTCCAAGCAAAACCTCAGAGGCTAAAAAAAATACAGAACTGTGTATGCTTTTCAATTGATCTTTCAAGGCACCTACTGATAGTCCTCCACTTAGGACCATGAGCCAAAAATATATGTTGCTAAGTGAAACATTTGTTGAGTTTTGCCCATTTGACGACCTTTCTTGCCCCAGTTGTTAAGTGAATCGTTGCAGTTGTTAAATTAACAACACAGTTGTTAAGTGAATCTGGTTTCCCCATTGACTTTGTTTGTCGGAAGGTCGCTAAAGCGAATCGCATGACCCTGGGACATTGCAACCGTCATAAATATGAACCAGTTGTCAAGTGGTTAGGATTAAGGTTCCTGAATTTTGACTACGTGACCGTGGGGGATGCTGCAATGTGGAAAATGGTCAGAAGTCACTTTTTTTGGTGCCGCTGTAATTTTGAACAGTCACTAAATGAACTGTTTTAAGTTGAGGACTACCTGTAGTACTCTTCAACTGCGGCAATTATAGGTGTTCCTGCTGAAGACTAGAACTCTATACATACACACACATACACACACACACACACACACACACACACACACAGAGGACACAGTGGCTCAGTGACTAAAACACTGAGCTTGTCAATCAGAAGGTTGGCAATTCAGCGGTTCAAATCCCTAGTGCTGTGTAACGGAGTGAGCTCCCATTACTTGTCCCAGCTTCTGCCAACCTAGCAGTTCGAAAGCATGTAAAAATGCAAGTAGAAAAATAGGAACCACCTTTGGTGGGAAGGTAACAATGGTCTGTGCACCTTCAGCGTTTAGTAATGCCGGCCACATGACTACAGAGACTTCTTCGGACAGCACTGGCTCTTCGGCTTTGAAACAGAGATGAGCACCGTCCCCTAGAGTCAGGAACGTGTATGTATGTATATATGTATGTATGTGTATGTATGTATATATATATATGTATGTATGTATGTATGTATGTATGTATGTATGTATGTATGTATCTATATGTATATGTATATATGTATATATACTGTGAACGTGTGTGTGTGTGTATGTATATATGTATATATATATATATATACAAACATATATACATACACACACACACACACACTCACTGTGTTTCCTCAACAATCTGTGAGTTTATACCTAATTCAGATGTAGGGGTTTTCAGCTACAACTTCATGCTCAATATTGTATCAGAGTAAAACTCTGCCATGTGAGAAGAGATGAATTCAAGAGCCTAAGATAATAAAAGTATGCAGACTGTCAGCAGTCAGCACCAGTTTTGCATTGAGTATTTTTTCCGACTTCATTGTAGACTTTTGAATCCATGTGAAAGATTATGTGATGGAATTTTATTTTGTTTAGCTTTTTAAAGATGCGAGATTCATACGAGCAATTAACGCATTTAAAAGTGTTTTCCCTTCATGAAGTTCAGCAGATAGGTAACATTTCAGTTTGTTTGAAAATTTGGGAGGGTTTTGGTGTTGGTGTTGAAATATACTACTAGGTGGGAGAATTCTAGACATTTCTTAAAGATAAGATAGACCACATTAAGCAGACAGAAGTAGAAGTTGGAATACTGCTTTATTTTTAAGAAGGATATTTCAAATGTCTTTCTATTTGTGTTCTATTTTGCCATTGAATCCTTACAGACAGAAGTGATTTTATGCAACAAGATAAAAATCAAAATTTGGTGTGATTTTGGTGTGACCTACTAAAGTACTATTGAAATATGAAATATGGAAAAAAAACCTGTAATATTTGAAAATCTATGTTTTCTTATATCTTTTAAAGTCACGACTGCCATTTGTTAAGCTGTTGTTATGTTTAAGGCACAAATTGCAATTTTAAATTTAAAGAAAAATAAATGGGAAGGGCTTGGAGAATAACAAGCTTCAAAAGAATAGCCAGATATTTTTTATCTTCAGAGAAAATAAAAACAAAACTGTACATTGAATTGATGCACGTGAAATTTTTAATCTTAAAATGTATAAATCTCCTCTTTTGAATTAGATTATAGCCCATACGTTCTAATCCCAATTATATTAGACAGTGCAAAGCAATTCTTTATTTTGATATATAGCAGTATTATATCACTATAATATTGTAAAGTCTATAATTTTCATATTCCCCTAGCAAATTCACTGTAGTATCTTCTCTGGATAGAAGCCCATTCATATTAATTATTATTTTGATTTGCTGAGCCTGGATTGCTCCGAAGACAACTATTAGAAAATATATAATCTGGACTTTAAACATGGCTCTTCACTATCCCAAAACAGAATTTGAACAAAATATACCAACATCGAGTAAGAATTTTATTTTTGTAGAACCCATTACTGGGAATCCTTACCTCCGGGTGAAATATAGAAGCAGTTGAGTTGAGTTTCATTAACCATCTTGCCCGCATATTTCACCCCAGGTTCCCCCGACTGATGTGCAGGTAGTGGACGATATGCTGATGTAGCTTTGCGAACGAGGGTCTGAAACATCTTCTTCCAATCCAGATCGATAAAACGGAGAAGCAGTAGGAATGGTGCTCTAACTTAATGCTATGCAAAAAATAAAAATAAATGCTATCTGGTCAAACTAGTCAGATGGCCACAAAATATGTGGCAAATAATAGCCAAATTGGGTTAATGCTCCTCCTCCCCAAATACTGTTAGGAAAGTACTTTTAAATAAAGTTCTGTGCATTTTTTTTGGTTCTTTTTAGGTTTTCCTTCCAGGCTGTTATTTAAAGTCTTTCCCTTATGGTTGCTTGTAGTCCCTTTCTCCTTCTGTTAGTTTTACAGGAAAACTTATATTGAGAAGTGGAGTTAATGGACTCCATCTGCCTGTCAGTTCATCACCTCCCTGAGCCATGGAGGCTTCTGGTTGTCATACATCATCACCACCTTGGCAGTTTCTGATAACTTAGCCTTGTTTTTGAAGATAGAGTTTTTGGGGTTTCTGGGTTTCGCCTAGCGAGAGAACATATTTTCCCCGAGCCATAAGTTGTATTTTAAAGATATCGGAATCAGAGCAATTGAGTTATGACGTAAGCCCAGGGAACTTATTGAGTTAATACGCAATGCAAAACATGCAGGGGCATTTCCTGAACCTTACATATATGCCTTGATATAAAGGGTTTGTTCCAAGGCAGCGCCTTCACATATTTTCCAGCAATTTAAAAAAAAAAAATAAGTGAAGGATAGCATCCCCTTAAAAGGAAAGGCATGCAGTCCATTTTGTAATGATGCAACCTTTCTGGTGAAATTATCTTGAGGTTGCAAGTGGCTTCACAGGCTGAGCTCAGGAGACGGTTGTTTGTTTCTTGGGGACATAAATCATGCAGTGGACAACACGGCCTTTACTTTATTGTAAGACTTCATAGATTGATGGATGCAAGTGTGTCTCGTCTCCTCCAGACCAGAGAGAGAGACAGAGGGTGTCTTCTCATGAAATATTCTTTCTTGTTGTATATCCTAACAGGCCCCTGGGTTTTGTTTGAAACTCCCCTTGTTTCTGTTTTTAGAACAGAATTTAAAGGGCCTTTAAATTTAAAGGACCACTTTGCTCTTCTGAGCCCATGATCTTGGAATATAGAATAGAATAGAATAGAATAGAATAGAATAGAATAGAATTTTATTATTTGTATGCCGCCCTCCTCCGGGAGGACTCAGGGCGGCGAACAATTCAAAAGGGGAAAAAGAGGAACGTAAAAACGAAATACAAATAATAAAAATAGGCAACAGTCGCACAACCATACATGTCGAGAGGGGAGGGAACTCATCACCCCAGGCCTGCCGGCAAAGCCAGGTTTTGACGGCTTTTCGGAAGGCCTGGAGAGAGGTGAGGGTTCGAATCCCTGCGGGGAGTTCATTCCAGAGGGCCGGAGCTGCCACAGAGAAGGCCCTCCCCCGGGTAATAGCCAGATGGCATTGGCTGGTAGATGGCACCCGGAGGAGGCCAACCCTGTGAGATCTAATGGGTCTGTGGGAGGTAATTGGCAGCAGGCGGTCTCTCAAGTACCCAGATCCAATACCATGAAGGGCTTTATAAGTTACGACTAGCACCTTGAAGCGTATCCGGAGACTGATCAGTAACCAGTGCAGCTCGCGGAGGATAGGTGTAACGTGAGTGTACCGAGGTGCACCCACAATCGCTCGCGCGGCTGCATTCTGGACGAGTTGAAGTCTCTGAATACTCTTCAAGGGCTGCCCCATGTAGAGCGCATATTTCGATCAGTGGTCTTTTAACCGAGAAGCGGAAGCCACAGTGCAGCATTATTAAGTCACTGCATACTTTTATAGCTGTGTGTTTTGGTCTACTTACAGCCACATACCCATCACGTATTTCCCGATTATATAGGGAGATTTCTAATCTGTATCTGGTTATATTTGGGGCAAAATGGACTTGACTTGCTTTGTGGCTCTGTTTTGAGTTTTTCTTTTTGGATCCAGAATGTCAAGTGTGTTAAGAGGTATTTGGCACCCATCAGAAAATATGCAGCTACACTTAAGTGTGGACAATTTGCATTGCAAAATAGTAAGGCTCTTCATCATGTAAAACAGGAGAAGAGGTGCCCCACGGATATATTTAAGCTTCTTAAGGAGATGAAAAACCATGGAATAGTTACTTTCTAAGTACAGTACAGATAGTCCCCAGGTTACAACAGGTCATTTATGGTTCAAAGTTACACTAAATCCCCCAAAGGTATTTATGTCCCAGTCCCAAAGTTAGGTCTGTTGCAGCACTTCTGCGGTCATTCATCCTTGTGACCAACTGGAGATGTTGCAACATGTGTCTCCCCCCTTCTATTTCTTCACCAGCCTGCCCTGTTTGGGTCCCCTAGGCACTGGGTCTGCTTTGCCACTCATCTCTACTCATTACCGATTGCTCACCTACCTTTCGAAGCTCTCCAGAGCTCAGAAGATTGGGGTACAGAAGGAGGAGGTGTCACTCCCTCCCTGGGCCATGTAGCAAAATTCCACCAGCAGCCATCACTGAGGAGAGGAAAGGCTGGTGACTAGCGAAGAAAAGAAAACCCAAGAGTTTTGTCAGCATCTCAGAAAAAGACGTCTGCTTGTGGAATTCTGCCATGTGGCCCAGCAATGGAGCTGTCTGTCCTCCTTCTGTACCCCAATCTTCTGAGCTCTAGAGGCTTCGAAAGGTAGGTGAGCAATCAATGATGATGGTGGTGGTTGGAGGGGCGGGAAGGAAGCCCAAGTGGCAGTGGGAAGCGGAGCATGGCCTATCTCGGTTTGGGAAAGGCCTTGGCAGCTGGAGGCAAGTGGGAAAGGAAAGGAAGATAGAAGAAGGACAGAAAGGGAAAGAGTGGAATGGATTGGTACTGCTAAAAAATCAAGTCTCAAGATTCCGTGGACCCCTTTGGCTCAGGCAGTCCAATTCCATGCTGCTTCCCTCTCTCCCCAAAGCGAAGGGATCGCAGAAAAACTGCCCAGTCCAGAACGGGGACTTCAGACGACTCAATGCTTGAGAAACCCCGGATGTGCAGAGAAACGCAGGCTATAACCAGCGAATCGCGTTTTCCCAGGAACCAACAAAGCCCCACAAGATCAATGGGAATTCTCCCTTCTGCAGCATCATCGGTCTCTGGGCAGAGTCTTCCTTGATTTCACTAATCACCAGATGGAGGAGAGAGCTCGGCGCAAGAGAGAAGGGAGGGAGGGAGGATATTTTCAGTCACATTTAAAGACATTAAAAAACACTGCGCTGCAGTTTGAAACTTGTGCTCGGTGTTTTCTTGTTACCTGCGCGGCTGTGCAGGCGCGCAGCTTAGAGGGAACATTGCTGCTATTCCCTGTATTAGTAATTCGTAACAGGAGATGAAAGATGCAGAGTTTGTCTGTAAACTAGTATCCTGTTCTGGCCAAAGGGAAGATTTATTTGTTTAATCTGTCTGTCTGTCTGTCTGTCTGTCTGTCTGTCTGTCTGTCTGTCTGTCTATCTATCTAAATGTGTTTGTGTGTGTGTGTGTGTGTGTGTGTGTTCGTTCCAGCATAACTGTGGGACTCCTCGAGCAATTCCAACTAAACTTGGTACAGAGATGACCTACCCTCTGAAAACCAATACTGTGGGGATAAAACACCCCTAAAACCTCTCGGGGTTTGTGTTCAGTTAAGATACAGCCTGTTGTGCCTTAAAATGGCTTCTACTGTACAGCGCAGTGGAGTTGCCATGGTAACAGCTTCACAGTACTTCACAACGGGGCTCCCTCTAGTAAGGGGGAAAATCCAACACCAAAAATTCCATTTGCTCCAGACATTTTCCCCCTATAAATAAATACCCGGGCAACACCGGGTTATCAACTAGTAAATAAATAAAATAGAAGGAAGATCAGCCACAGTTGAGCAACAAGTGTCAGGTTGTCTCTCCAACTCATGTAAGTGGCTTCTGGTTTATATTTCTTGCTTGTCTGAACATGGAGTAAGCTTGTTCTCACTCCTGGCCAAATGTTTTTGCTTTGTCTGCTTTAATAGGTGCTAGAGTCCCTCCTGTGAATACAATATGGTCAATTTGTCTTCTTCCCTTTAGACCTACGTTGATAAGTAGTGTACTGTTTGTTCCAGATATGACCTGCATTAATAGCATCCTTTAGATATAGTTCTATTTTAAGAGAGTCTTTCCCCCACCCCAGTATTTTAAATCTGTAAGGTAAAGGTTCCCCTCGCACATATATACTATTTGTTCCTGACTCTAGGGGGTGGTGCTCATCTCCATTTCAAAGCTGGAGAGCCAGCGCTGTCCAAAGACGTCTCCGTGGTCGTGTGACCGGCATGACTAAACACCAAGGGCACATGGAACGTTGTTACTTTCCCACCGAAGGTGGTTCCTAATTTTCTACTTGTGTTTTTACATACTTTTGAATGGTTAGGTTGGCAGAAGCTGAACAAGTAACGGGAGCTCACTCCGTTACAGGGCGCTAGGGATTCAAACCGTCGAACTGCTGATCTTTCTGATTGACAAGCTCAGTGTCTTAGCCACCACGTCCCTGATCTGTAGTCCCAAGCAATTGGATGCTTTGATTTCTGTTATGATAAATAGAAAGGGATAGATTCATACCTTGTGTGGTTTTAACATTATTGGAAAAAGTTATACGGAAATATGTTATAAACATTTCTTATTAGAAACATTTATTATAGAAATAAGCTTATTCGTGGATTTCCCAAGGACCTTATAAATAACAATGAACGATTTTTCCTATATCCCCCATCTTTGTATTCAAAATGAACACAACTAGCAGATGTCTCTGTTACCATAGACTTGATTAACTCATGCAGAAACATCACGTCTGTTTTTCCTTATGGCGACTGGGCTCATATGTTGGATAGAACCAAAGTTTATTTATCCATGATTTATTGAATAAACTATAATTACTTTATAGTTTGCAGAGCAAGCTAAGCAACAAATCGTAATTTATAAATCACAGTAATTGATTCACCCAGCATTCTGGGCCAAAACCAAACTACATCGTCAATACAATATTTATATACAATATTTATTTATTTATATTGTGAAAAATATAAATATATATTGTGAAAAAGCAATGATACGCTCCCCTATTTGTTGTGTTCATAGGCTTGTCCTCTAATTTGGTATATATTTAGAGGTACATTTGATATTCCTCGAATTATATTTCTGCCTCACATGGATAAGAAAGAAGGCTTGATATCAATTACCTGTTGGCAAAATTCCAATTAATACATTTTTTTAAAAAAATCAGCCACTTTTTAAATCTTTTATGAAAAAAGTATTTTTGATAAAGGTATATCAGCAATGGAAGAGATCTCTGAAAAGGTATAGGTTATGTTCTAGAAACTAAATCTAAACCTAATTTTCAGGGTTCCGACGGATGCCCTAATTAAATCATGAGCCTCGAGCCAAGCTTCAAAAGAAATCCAGTTATTTATTAGGAACTTTATGTCGGCATGTTCCCAAGTGAAGCCAGCTCTGAACCCATGTAATTAAGGCCCCAAACACACCCTGTTTCCCCCCTTCCCCAGGGTGTGTCATCAATCACATTTGCTGAGGAAATTTTGTGGATTGTTCCAGCCGCTTCAGCAGGAGCAGTTGTTTCATAGTTCTCATTAGAAAGAACTGTATATTTTAAAAAGCAGAGTGTTTTTTTCCCCCAGCAAGTACTAGAACTTGGGCCAATTTTGGATTCACAAACTACGCAAGATTGGGTGTGGTTGACACTTGGAAGACAGATCACTGGGGATTCCCAGGGCTGTAGACTAAACAAAACAACAACAAAAATGAGAAGACAGGGACAAAGTACTTCTGTAGTGTTGTCAAGAAAACTGCATGGATGCATGGTAAAAATCATTGCATAGTCTGGGGCATTTTTTTTCTCTTATTAATACATACATACATACATACATACATACATACATACATACATACATACATACATATAAAGAAAAAAGACATGGAGCTTTTGTTGTTTGTTTGTAGCTGCAGTATCAAAGAATCCTCAACCAATGAAAAATGCAATTATTTTTCAAGCAAAATACTTCCCTCTTGCCGTCTAAGTATATGGGTGAGCAGACAGGATTGCAGAAGGCAGTATGGGAGAGATGGAGAAGAATGGACAGCAGGCTGGGAAATCTCAAGTAAGGTTGGAGAAGGCAGTAAGGATGGCAGGTGATAGGCAAGTTGTGGAGATGTCGGGAAATACTGAAGACTTAAATTCAGTAGAGGAAGATAATGAGTGGATAAAGAAGATTGGAGATGGCAGGAGGAGGCAAACCGTAGCGTAAGACAAAAAGTGATGAACAATGGTCTGTCATGGTCTGATTATCTATGTAACTATCTATCTATCTATCTATCTATCTATCTATCTATCTATCTATCTATCTATCTATCT